CTCCCCTGCTGAAAGCCTCTCACAGCTGTGGGTCTGGACCCTTCTGCCACAGCCACCTAACTGTAACTCTATTTGCTCTTGAGACACATTTACTAAGCACCTCCTGTGCGTCAGGGGCTGGGGGACACAGCAGTGAACAAGACAAAAATCTCTGCTCCTATGGAGCTGACACTGAGGTGGGGGAAGCAGGTGATGAACAGACAATAAAGTGAAGGAAAAGGCAGCGGAGTCAGGAGACAGAGGATAGGAATGAGCTGTATTATATGGGGGGTGGGGAAGGCACAAACCTGAAATTTGAAGGAGAGGAGATTAAGTAGATGGATACCTGGCTTGCAGAAATGGTGTGTGCAAAGGCCCTGAGGCAGAAGGGACCCCGGTGAGGGTTAAGGAACATGGAGAGTATCCGCGCAGCAGATGGGGAGGGAGAGAGTGGGAAGAGGGCAGGGAGAGGACCAGGGCTAGAAACAAAATTCTTCAAAAGCAAAAACTAGGTAAATGAGGTGGCACTTAAGAGGGCCTCCAAGGGCAGATAGGGCTGGGGACGTTCAGGGAGGTCAAAGTCAGGGCATTGAGTTCAAGGATCTCGGGGCCAGGCTGCCCGGTGGTGAGTCCCAGCCCTGCCTGTGTGGCACTGGACTAAGAGCACATTGCCTCAGTTTCCCCATCTGTAACATGGGTCGTTGTGCAAAAAAAAAAAAAAAAATGAAAAGCCGCCGGTTAGAGCAGCGCTTGGCACATGGCCCCTCTACCTCTCTCGGACCGCCTCCTCCGTGGCGCCCTCCCGCTCCGCTTCCTGGGCTGCGAGGTCGGCCAGGTCTCGGGCGGCGCGGGCCATGTTGACGGCGGTGGGCCGGGCGGTGACAAGGAAGCTCAGAGCGTCGCGCACGAAGCCCACGAGCGCGGCAAGTCCGGGTCCCCCGGCGCCCGCCTGCAGCTCCACGGCGAGGCTGAGGCAGCCTACGAGCGCAATGGCTGGGGCGCCGCGCACCTGGTGGGGAAATGGGGGCGTCAGGGACTGCAGGCATGGGAAGCCCCCCACCCCGGTCCCACCGAACGGCCCCACCTTCATAGCGCGGATGGCCTCCCAGGCCTGGCGCACCGAGCCCACCGCCTCATAGCGGCTCTGCTGGGGCAGCAGCAGCTGGTCGAGGATCTGTAGTGAGCCCCGCGAGTAGCGGATCGCCTCCAAAGTCATGCTGTTGCAGCCGCGATCACCGCCTTTCCCGGGGCTCAGCTGGCCGCGCGCACCAGAGGCGGGGCCGGAAAGGGAGCAGGGGGCGAGGCCAGGGCCTAAGGGGTGGTTCCCGGGGCTCAGCTGGCCGCGCGCACCAGAGGCGGGGCCGGAAAGGGAGCAGGGGGCGAGGCCAGGGCCTCAGGGGTGGAACCTCTCCCGGAAGGAGGAGCGTGCGCACATCAACTTCGCTGGCTGCTGGGACCCGCCAACCAGGCGCCCGGTCCTACTCCACCTTCCCCGCCAAACCTAGGCAGTTAGCCGCACCCTCGGAACCAAAATGGTGCCACTATTTATAGGGCAACTATTGCATGCCAAGTCCTGTGTTTGGCGTCTGGCTATAGCAAGACTCCTAAGTGCCAGGTGGGTACCCTCAGGTGCCTGACTTCTCCAGCCAGAGCCAGTGCTGCCTGTGGCCTCACGTAGAGCAAGGCACCAGAAGGGGGTTCTGAGATCGAACAGACTCTTACTGCTGCCTTGAGACCTTCCCATCCCCGCGGGGAGTAAAGGCCTGCGGGCTGGGGGCCACCACTACCTCCAGACAGGGCACATTACAAGTTCAGCAGAATTCAGCCAGAACCTCAGCCCCGAGAGGCCCGTATGTCTGGTTTGTTCACCACTGCACCTCCAGTGGCTGGGACAGCGTCTGGTGCACTGCAAGTGCTCCGTTAATATTTGTGAACTGATCCTTCTCCAGGATTTAGGGGGAGGTGGTGGGCCCTGAGTCACCTGGTGGATGCTCAGCTGTTTTTTTTTGCTCAGTTTACTAGTTTCCTTCAAAGGAAGCAACACGCTGGGGACTCTTTCATGACCCTTCCAGGGTGTCCCCATGGGTGGGGGATAATGAACAGCCCACACCTGTGTGCTCCATCCCCTCCTGCATCTGGCCTGGACCCTGAGCACCCCTGCTGTCCAGTCCCATTTTCATCCTTCATACCCAGCCTGTGCCACCTCCTCCAGGAAGTTGGCACCGATTACAGGCCAGCCTGGACTACTACCTTTCAACCCTCATCAAGCTGGGTGGGGACCCGGGCTGTGGTCACAGCATCAGCATTGGCTGATGAGATGCTGGGCAAGCTTAGCTGGGTTGCGGGGGGAGGGGTGCAGGCATAGCTCCTGGGCCCATCTAGTAACCTGAGGCAGAGGCAAAGAAGCAGGGTTTTAATGCTGGGAGGTCGGGGGTCCCACAAGGCACAGGCACCCTCTCCAGGACCAAATAAATAACAACTCCATTACTGTGAGGGGGTGAGGTCTGGGGGGGGTGGTCACTGAGCTCTCCAAGGCTGTGGGTTAAAGGGCTGCAGCCTGTGAGGGGCCTCCTCGGTGGGTCTTGGCCTCCTGAGTGAATCTGGCGCCCAGAGTCACTCACTCTCCGAACCGGAGTAGTCAGCCACGAGGGAGGAGCTGAGGCTGCAGGGCTGGGGTGTGTCCCGGGGACTGGCTGCCTCCCGGGAGGAGCCTGGCAGGGGCCGGGGCCTGTCCCGACAGCTCTCCTCCTGCCCCGGTGGCCTACTGTTCTTGCAGGTCTCGGCTGTCTCCTGACAACAGTCTCTGGGGGATGTGGGCCTGTCCTGGGCGGTCCCCTCTGGCACCCGTGGCTCCCCAGACTTGGGGGTCTCAGCTGTGTGCTGAGGGCTCTCCGGGACCTCCCGGGACCGCCGCCGCACAATGCCCAGGTGCCCCACGGTGACGGGGGAGCCAGTGGGAGCAGATCTGCGGTTCTGGGACAGCTTCTTCAGGACACTGCTGGCTTTGCTGCTGCTGGCGCCAGGTCCCGGGCTGGAGGGGAACCAGGAGCGGCTGATGATCTCTGTCCGCTTGAGTTTCTGCTTGTCCTCATATGCTGGGGATGGGGAGAGGGAGGGGGGAGGAGGAGGTCCAGAGCCGCCCTCTGCCCGAGCAGCCCCCCATCTCCCCCCACCCCGACCCCCTCGCCCACTGGCCCCCACGCACAGTCTAGCGTGTGGAACTTGAGCAGGGCGGCCAGCCTGCGGTCATCCTCCGTCTCCGGCACCAGCGGGATGTCCAGGCTTGCCTTGGCCTGCAGGGCCTGGTCCCTCTCTTCCTCTTCCTGCATGGCTTTTTTCTTTTCCTGTGTTGGCGAGAAGGGGTTGGGGAGGGATGGTGGGTGTCAAAGCCGTGCCTCTTTTCCCTCTGAGTGGAGGGGAGAATCCCTCCAGTGTTCAGGGTCTCGGTTTCCTTCTCTTCAAGCTTATGCGAGGAAAAGGCCTCACACAGTGCTCGGGACATAGAATTTGTTCAACAGCAGGAGACACAATCATGAGTATGTGTACCACTGGGTTCTTCACTCATTCATTCTTTCCACAGATATTTACAGAACGTCTTTCTGGTGCCAGGCCTTGTTCTAGACACTAGGGACAAAGCAGTGAGCAGACGAAATCTTCTGCCCTGGTGGAGCTGACATTCTAGTGGGGGAGCAAGACAAAGTGGTGAGGAGAGAAGGAATGCTGGGAAGAGGGTAGGAAATAGGCAGCGGGTTCAACTTTAAATGTGGTGTGCATGGTAGAGGGGAGAGTTAGGGACAGTATCCTGAGAAAATCGTGTTTGAGAAAAGGTGTCTGAGTGAGGGAGCCATGTGGGTATCTGATGGAAAAGTGTTCCAAGGTGGCGGGAACAGCCTGTGCAAAGGCCCTGAGGCAGAAGTGCGCTTGCCAGTGAGGCGGCCAATGTGGCTAGAGCAGAATGAGCAAGGGAAAGGTGGAGATCGGGGTAAGGAGGGGAAGGGGCAGATCGTTTGGGCCTGGTGGGCCAAGGGGAGGACTCTGGCCATTGGGAGCCATGGAGGGTTCTGAGCATAGCAGGGATGTAATCCCACTGGGGCGCTCACTGGTGCCCCCTGGTGGCTGTGAGGGGCACAGGCTGTGGGACACAGGGCATGAGCCCCTGGGGACCAGGGTGGAGGGACTGTGCTGGTCCAGGCAGGAGATGATGGAGGCTGTGGAAGTGGTCAGAGCCTGCCAGAATTTGCTGACAGATGGGGAGAGGAACAAGAGGAACCAAGGCTGACTGGGCTTTACAGGCTGAGTGTCCCGAAGGACAGAGATGCTTCCATTACTGAGAAGGGGAGGATGCAGGCAGGGCAGGTTAGGGACTGATGGGGCTCCTTGGGATGTTACGTTTGAGGGTCCTTAGACCCCATTCGGGGATGCCCACAAGGCAGGGGACACCAGCTCCGGGCAGAGGCCTGGCCAGAGAGATACACTTTCAGTAACAGTTAGTAAGAAAACCCACAATTTTACTCCTAATAACAACCACAGGATGATCAGAAAAGGTGACGTGAAAAAATGGGAGTGGCAAGATGATGAATCTGGAGCTTGTGCCTTGTGGGGTCGCCCGGGATGCTCCTGTCCAGGCTCTGTTTGCAGGCTCCAGGGGTGTAAGCTGCCCCACAAAGCGAGGGAAGAGGCAAAAGTTCTCATGTTCCCAAAGGACGTTCCACTGCCCTGTCGGATGCCCGCAAGGGTAAAAAACCCATTTCTATTATACTCCTCTGACCCCAGACCCCCACTCCCTGTGACTTAGCTCCACTGAATATTTTTGGCACAATTGTAATAGCCATTGTGTCACTGACAGCAACGCCCTAGGGTGTCCTCCAGCTATGATCCTGTCCCCCTGGGGTCTGGAGTCTGCGTTTGCACCTGCGTCCTCAGAGGCTCTACAAGCAGGTACAGGTGTCTGGCCCAAGCATTTACATGTTGAGATAGGCATTATACATTTTATAGGTAATTTCCCTTTTTATCTCTAGGGATTTGACTCTAGGGATGATTTTGGAAATTACGTGGGGGCGGGTTGTCAAACTATAGATTTTGTTTCAGGACAGCTGAGCGGGCCCACGAAATATGTCAGGAGCTGATCAGTGCCCTCCAGGGCCTCTGCCTGCCCCCGCCACGGGGGGGTGTCGGGACTCACTTGTGCCCCAGCTTGAGGATTTCTTCTCTTTGAGAGTCTGCTGTGAGGGCTAGAGTCCCCAGGGGAAGGGGCCACATGCTTAATAGTAGCTGCTGGGCTAGATGCCTCCCATGGGTGCTGTGATGTGGGGATGTGGTGGTGAATGGGGAAACTGCGGGTGAAATGACCTGCCTGTAGCTAGGGAGTGGGCTGGACCTGGGTCTCAGCCTGCTTTTTGTTCTCCCCGCTCCACTGCTGGTGATGCCAGGCCACCCCCGCCTGCCTGTGGTCCTGACCCCGGGCCGGAGCCCTGCTCACCCGGAACCTTTTCCGCAGCATGCTGTTGAGGGCGAAGTCATCCTTCCAGGCGCTCTGAGCCTCCTGGATGTGGCTCAAGGTGGGGAGGGCCTTCTTGAGCGTGCTCCGGTCAGCCTCACCGTGCTCCAGTCGGAACATGGCATCTGTCTCCAGCTTCTGCTTCTTCTCGTGCTCTGCGAGAGTGAGAGCGGGGCTGGGCCTTCAGGGCCCTGGCTCGGGGCTGGGCTCAGGGTTGGCAGTGGGCTCGGAGCCCACCCTTGGCGCTCACCTGTCGTCAGCACCTGCTCATTGTCTGCCATGTCCCAGCGCTCCTCCTTGCGCTGGGCGCCGCTCACGATCACGTAGTCGCAGTTGGCGGGGTCTGTCTGCATCTCGATGTAGTTGACGCAGAGGTGGCATTTCATTCGGAACCTGGCAGGGTGGAGGGCGATGGGCTAGAGTCAGGACACTGTGGCCTGCTTCCTTCCATCCGTGCACGGCATCAACTAGTGTTCACGGAGCACCTGCTACATGCTGGGCTCCATGTCCGGGGGACAGCCGTGGGTGAGACAGATATGGTTCCTTCACCCCGGCACTGACCTTCTGTCTGGAGTTTGTTCACTTGTTCATCCATATATTCATTTGTTCGCTCGTTCATTCACTCAACAAACCCTCCCGAGGGGACGGAGCAGAGCCTGCGGGGCCTTGTGGGCCACGGGGAGGACTCACTCTGAAGAGGGTGGGAACCATGAAGGATTCTAGGCAGGATGTGCCCTGACTGACAGACCATGATGGTTTCCAGGAGACCTCCAGGGAATAATCATCAGGCAGAGGGTAGAAACCTCCCTCTGACTCAGACTCCCGTGTAGCCCCCTCGCCCTGCGGCCCACCGGGCTGCCTCTACCTGTAGATCGGGGTCGCGTAGTAATTGCCAACCTTCTTCTTTTCTGCATTGTAACGAACACCTAGGAGGAGGGGAGAGAACGAGGCTAGGGCTCAGGCCACCCTCGGCATCTTTTCCTGGGGTGGGGAGCAGACGGGGGTGGTATTTTACTCCCCTGCAGGGGAGACACCTCTGGAGGACACTGAAATTCAAGCAGAAAAGAGCCACGCCTAGGCTGCGGGATGGGTGCTCAGGCCACAGAGGAGGGTGGGCTGGATGGAGCCAGAGGGCCCGGGTTCAAACCCTGGCGCCACCCCACCAGCTGTGCGACCTTAGGCCAGCCGCCCTGGCCGTCTGGCCTCAGGTTCCCCATCGACTGGACAGGGATGGCTATGATGCCTACCGCACAGGGCTGGTGTGAGAACTGCAGAAGCTAGTAATACACACGGATCGCTTAACACTGGGCCAGGTGCTCAGCAAGCATTCAAGAAGGGCTGGCTTTTGGGAATTCCCTCCCTGTCGGTCCAGTGGTTAGGACTCCGTGCCTTCACTGCTGGGGCCCAGGTTCAATCCCTGGTTGGGGAACTAAAATCCCGCAAACCGTGGGGTGTGGCCAAAAAAAAAAAAAAAAAAAAAAGGGTGGCTTTTATTATTTTTCTAGAGAATATCCAGGTTTTTTGTTCCTTTTTCACTAATTAGATGGTATATTCTTGACCCTTATCTTGCTTACTGAGTGAAAAAAGCTTAAACTAGAAAAACAGAGCTTGGGGGGGTTGGTGGTGTGGCGTGGCCGGCTCTTCCTTTTCTGGGGGGCTGCTTCTGTTCACGGCCCTGAGGTTGACCCATGTGTGGTGTCAGGCTGCGCCCTGCTCTTTGTTGCCTGAGCACCTGGTGGCCTTTGGGGCAGATGCCCCTTGCTGGGTCTGATCGGGGGATGTGTTGGGGGCAGTCATTCCACTTCAGCAGTGGGGTGGCCTGGCCCCTCTTTCTTGCACTGGACCCTCCTTCCGAGAGCTGCTGGCTCCTGTTTACAGAGCGAGCTGTTGCCCTGGGCCAGGCGCCGTGGGAAGGGCTGAGGATCCCCGTACTATAGCGGAGGAAACGGAAGCCAGGAGGATCGAGTCACCTGCCGCAGGCCTCAGGGCTGCTGAGCAGGGCCGCGGACCCATGTCTGTCCATCTGTGCACCTGTGGGCATGATCAGGGGTCTGAATGCTCAAGGTAACAGTAAGGGTAGTGGCAGCAGCAGGTTGAGTTTACGAGCCCTCGCACATGCCACATGCTGTGCACTAAGCACTTTATTTTTAATTTATTTTTGGCTGCGCTGTGCGGCTTGTGGGATCTTAGTTCCCCAACCAGGGATCGAACCCACGCCCCCTGCAGTGGAAAGCGCAGAGTCCTAACCACTGGACCGCCAGGGAATTCCTTGCACTAAGCACTTTATATGCCACACAGGCGGGCACTCATACCACCTGAATTTCACAGATGGGCAAATTGAGGCGCATGGAGGCTCAGTCGCCTGCCAAGGGTCACCAGCTAGGAAGTGGCAGAGATGGGATTTGAACCCAGAGCCTCCTAACCACTCTGCCATGAGGCATCCACAGCCCACCAGGCACTTGAGCCCACTGTCCCCTACTCGACTCCTGATTGGGACCCCGGCGAAGACGGTCTCTCACGGCGCCCAGCAGTTAAGGGGCTCGCTGGCAGTGGGGCTGAATGGTGGGGGTCAGGGTGGGGAGCAGGGGAGCGGGCGGAAGCTCACCCATGCCGATGTGGTTCTTGCAGCCGTCACACCAGATGTTATAGGGCATCTCAAATCTACACAAACAGAGAACAGCTCATTTGTCCCTGTCCACGTGGGCTCTCCCAGGATCTCCAGGTCAGCGACTCTGGCTGCAGTCACATTGCAAAGGGCATGCAAGCGGGAGGGTAAAGAACGGTGGTCATTCCTGCAACCAGGCCAGGGCCATCACGTGGCTCTCTGGCCAGCTGACCCAGTCTGGGCGAGCGTCTCTGCTGGGTGCTGCCTTGTCTTCCATATCCCACCACGTCAGCTACCCAAGTTTCCAAGCAGAGGAGGAAGCAGGCTTCAGGGAGCACTGGTGTTCGATTCCAGTTTAGCTTAAGTTGTCGTAGTGACACTGGATTTTTTTTTGTTTTTAATACATTTATTTATTTATTTTTAGCTGCATTGGGTCTTCGTTGCTGCGGATGAGCTTTCTCTAGTTGCGGCGAGTGGGGGCTACTCTTCATTGTGGTGCGCGGGCTTCCCGTTGCAGAGGCTCCTCTCGTTGCCAAGCACAGGCTCAGTAGTTATGGCTCGCGGGCTTAGCTGCTCTGCGGCATGTGGGATCTTCCTGGATCAGGGCTTGAACACGTGTCCCCTGCACTGGCAGGTGGATTCTTAACCACTGCGCCACCAGGGAAGTCCCTGGGTTTCTTTTATCCAGTTCTATTTGCAACGTGCAATTCTGGTAAATTTCCATTAACAGCAGTAATGGAGCTCCTCTTTTAAAACAGAACCATTAAGTAATGAATAATGAGATGAATTTAAGACACTGTACAGATGAGATGAGGGCTTGGCAAAGAGACTGGATGAAGGCAGGGTGGGTGGTTGGCTCTGGAGTGTGGAGGCATGGCGGGAGTTGGAGGTGACCTTCAGCTCTGTGACTCTTGGGGCCACTGCTGAGATTTGCATCTTGACTACTTTTCCATAGATGTTCCTCCCTCTGACGGTTTTGTCACTGGATGCTCTGCTCAGGCCCAGGGCGGACCCCAGAGGCTGAGGGCAGAGTTCATGAGGCAGAGAAGGAGGCAGAGAGGGGCTCCTTCTGGGGCGACACAAGCTGGTTTCTGCTTCCCGCCACGGTTGACCCACAGGGTGCTGGCCAGAGATAAGAGAAGAACCCCGGAAGAGCCATCGTCCTGGCTTGACTGCAGTAATGGCTGTGATTCTTTATCCTCCCCATGTCCGTGCCCTTTGCAAGATGACTCTGCAGCCATTCCTGTCAAGAGGTGGAGTGTGTTGCCCCACCCCCTCTCTGCATCATGACTTGCTTTGGGGAATCAATGAGACAGAAGTGACAGGGTACCAGCTCAGGGTCTCTGCCTCAAGAAGCCTTGCATGCCTCTGCTGGCTCTCTTTTGGAACCCGGCTGCTGCTGTGTGAACAAGCCCAGGCTAGCCAGCTGGAGGATGAGACATACTTGGAACACAGCCCAGTCATACCAACCAAGGCCATGCTGGACCAGCCAGTCCCCAGCCAGGCAACCCCCAAACATGTGAGACAGCCCAGCCCAGGTCAGCCAAGACCAGCCAAGGCCAGCAGAGGCATCCAGCTGAGCTGCAGACTCGTGAACAACACGAATGCTTAACATGTGCTTATCGTTTTGTTACGCAGCAATGGTGACTGATACAGCAACTTTCTGCTTTATGGAATTAAGACCCTGCAGCACTGGGCAAAATCGGGGGTGCTGAACGCTCCTTGAGGTTGACACCAGGTGGCATAAAGGGCAGGGGTCCTCAGGTGATGCCAGGGCCTTACCTGATGATGAGGATGCCCTGGGACAGCTTCCGAGCCCGCTCCCGAAGCGGGTGGCTGTTATGGTATCTGTTGAGTGAGCCATGCTGTGTGGAAAGGAAGAGGGAGCAGATTAGCACTGCTGAGTTGGGGGAGCTCAGGCCCTCTCTCACAGGCCGAGAGAGCCCTCGTTCTTACGTCCTGCTGGGAGTGTTAACAGCAAAATGGGAGGCACTTAGGCTTTGATGAAGCAAGTGGGCTTGGAATCAGGAAAACAGGAGTCTGCATCTTACCTCTCCCATTTAGGAGCTAAAAGAGCTGCGTGACCCCGGGCAGTGACCTCACCTTTTGCCTTCCTGAGCCCTATGAGTCAACTGGAGACGAGGATCATAATCACCTCCAGGTGTTGTGGGATCAGGTGAGGTGACAAGACCAGCAAACTTCTGCTGGGTACTTTACGTGTGTCATCTCACTTTAATCCCTCAACGTTTCTGGGAGGTCAGGTTGTTTGGTTTCCCCTTTGGACCTAGGGGGAGACTCTGGTTTAGAAAGACCGAGTCATGTGCAGGAGACCACATAGCTGGGACATGCTGATTCATTTACTAGCCCCTTACTGAGCGCCCACAGTGTGGGGACACAGACACAAATGAGACAGATGAACATCCCTGCCCTTGAGGCGCGGACGTTCTAGAGGGGAAGATGGGGGGCTTCCCTGGTGGCGCAGTGGTTAGGAATCCACCTGCCAATGCGGGGGACACGGGTTCAGGCCCTGGTCTGGGAAGATCCCACATGCCGCAGAGCAACTATGCCTGTGTGCCACAACTACTGAGCCTGTGCTCTAGAGCCTGCGAGCCGCAACTACTGAGGCCCGCGTGCCTAGAGTCCATGCTCCGCAACAAGAGAAGCCACCGCGATGAGAGGCCCACATGCTGCAACGAAGAGTACCTCCCGCTCGCTGCAACCAGAGAAAGCCCGCGCGCAGCAATGGAGACCCAATGCAGCCAAAAATAAATAAATAAAATAAATAAATAGAGGGGGAGATGGATAATACGCAAATAAATGGGTGATGCATCAAGGAGTTAAGAAGGCTATGGAGAGAAATAAAGCACCAGGTCATGCGATAGAGAATGAGAGGGTGGTCAGGGAGGCCCTCTGTGAGGAGAGACCTAAAGGAAGTAAAGGAGTCTTGGGGTCAGAGAGAGGGAGAGGTTCCAGGCAGAAGAAACAATGAGGAGGCCAGACGAGCTGGAGCTGGGAGGGTGAGGGGATCTGACCCAGAGGCCGTGTGTGGGACCTCATCCTGGACTCCACTGGAAACACACCACACCTGACACTGGGCATGCTGGTGTTTACATGGGTCATTGACAAGGGTCACCCTGACCATCTGGGAGGGAAGGCTGCACCAAGACTCAGGTGACAAGTGCAAGGCAGGGAGACCTCGGGGGCTGCCCGGGCTTCTGCAGCTGTGCAGAAGGGGATGACTCCAGGAGGGGATTAAGAGCGTGGGGTCCCTACCCGGCGGGGTCGCTATGCTATCGTGGACACGGAGAAGGAAGACTGACCCTTACCTTTGTAGGGTTGAAATCTGGAGGGTAGTACTTGTTTACACCTTTCCTTTCACCCTGGAAAGCAGAAGAGAGATGTGAGTCAGAGAGGGTCCTACAGGAGACCTACTTGTGCAGCCTTGAGGGGCGAGACCTGGACAAGGAAGACAGGGATATCCTGGATGATGGCCCAGGGCTCCGTGTCCCATCGAGGACTGGTGACTTGGGGGAAAAAGCCCCACTGTTGGGAATTCCCCGGCGGTCCACTGGTTAGGACTCAGCGCTTTCACTGCTGTGGCCTGGGTTCAATCCCTGGTCAGGGAACTAAGACCCGGCAAGCTGAGCGGCTCAGCCAAAGAAAAACAAACAAACAAACAAAACAAAACCCACTGTCGTCGCTGTGGAAAATTCCACAAGGGTTAGACTCTCCTAGAGCCATGGCTTTCACAGTTATTTTGGGACCGTGACTTAAGGTAAGACATATTTAACCCCAAATACACAAGCACAGGTTTCAGGAAAGAATGCTCACCCAGCTGTGAATCTCTCTTTTAAATGCTGACAGCCACCTGCTGAATTGACTTATTGACTTAACGATCCACTGAAGCAGTGGGTCTCAAACTTGGCTGCATGTTACAACTACCCGAGGACTTTCTAAAATACTGATGCCTGGGACCCACGGCCAGAGGTTCTCCTGACAGAGGACCTGCTCTAGGGCATGGTGCCTGGACACAGGGCTTTTCCAAAGTAACCCTGGAAAACACGTGTGTATACACATCCTTGTACATACAGGTCCATTCACAATAGCCAAATGGTGGAAACAACCCAAATGTCCATCAGTGGATGAAAGGATAAACAAAACGTGGTCCATCCATATAATGGGATATTATTCAGCCATAAAAAGTAAGCTCTGATATATGCTGTAATGTGGGTAAACCCTGAAAAAATCATTCTAAATGAAAGAAGCTGGATACAAAGGGACACATGGTACATGATTCCATTGATATGAAACGTCCAGAACGGACAAATCTACAGAGGCAGAAAGCAGACTGGTGGTTGCCAGGGGCTGGGGTGGGGGAATGGGAGTGACTTTTATTGGGTATAGGGTTTCATTTTGGGGTGACGGAAATGTTTTGGAACTAGATAGAGGTGGTCATTGCAAAATATTGTGAATGTACTAAATGCCACTGAATCATATGTTTTAAAATGTTAGTTTTATGTTATGTGAATTTCACCTCATTAAGAAAAAAAAAACAGGAAAAAAAAAAAAGAAAAAAGCTCCCTGGGTGATTTTATTAGTACACAGCAAAGTTTGAAAACCACTGCACTGGAAGACCATGATCCAGAGTTTGAAAATATCAGAGAGCTTGGGGTCAGGGGTGGGGAAAGAGACTTTTAGGGGAGGGAAAGGGCTATTCAGGGGACCCCTTCCCTTCACCTAAAGATCAGAAGAGAAACCCAATGAGCACAGCCTGTCTACTCACCATCTTGGAAGCTGCCTACTGGTCCTCAGCCACCACTCAGCCAATCTGAAAAGATGATGAGACACTGCTTTGTCGACTCACTGCCCAGTGCCACCCTCCTGGACAGCCTGGCAGACAGTCGTGGCTTCTCTGTGAAGATGCGGTGGGCTGTGAGTGGTGGTGGTGGCGGCTCAGATGATCCTCCCCGCAGGTGTAGGAGGCATCCAAGGAGCGGCGTTTGTCTGTCTGGAAAGGGAGTGTACTGTCCACTCTCCATCCAACATATATTTCCCAGCTGACACTTCTCATTCCTCCATGGCCCCCATCATCGCTCACCTGGATGAGTACAGTCACCTCCTCCCTAGGCTCCTGGCTCTGCCCTTGACTCTCACGGTCTGTTCTCCTCGTAAGGGCTAGAAGGATCTGTGAAAATATAAATCTGAACTATCACTTTCCTGCTTAAACCCCTCCAGTGATTCCCATCGCTTTGAGAATCAAGTCAACCCCCTCCCCATGGCCTATGGGGCCCCTGCCTGCCTCTCCGAGGCCACCTTTTACCCCTCTCCCTCTCACTCACTGTTCCAGTCACACTGGCTTCCTGGCTGCCTTCGAAAGCTCAGCAGGTGCAGGCCAACTGCCTTGAATGCTGCTAAACACCCACAATACACAGGATAACACCCACCACAAGTGTTCTTTGTCACAGGTCTCAGCTCAAACATCACCTCTGTCAGGCCTCATCTGATCACCTGATCTAAAGTCACTTCTTCCCTGGAGCTTCCACCACATCACCCTGTGTCTGTTCACTTGTTTACAGTCTGTCTCCTCCGCCAGGTGCCACTGTGCTACATCTCCGGCACCCAGGACAGCTCCTGATAAATGCTGACTTCATCAACCTCTGATAACTGACTGAGGTTCCATAAGACTCAGTGTGGGTGACACAGAGACACTGGGAATTTGGGGTTAGCAGATACAAACTATTACATATAGGATGGATAAACGACAAGGTCCTACTGTATATATTCAATATTCTAAGATAAACCATAATGGAAAATAATATTAAAAAAAGAACATATATATATGTATATATATATATATGTATAACTGAATCACTTTGCTGAACAGCAGAAATTAACACAACATTTTATGGGGTTTTCTTGCGGTACGCGGGCCTCTCACTGCTGTGGCCTCTCCTGTTGCGGAGCACAGGCTCTGGACGCGCAGGCTCAGTGGCCATGGTTCACGGGCGCAGCCGCTCCGTGACATGTGGGATCTTCCCGGACTGGGGCACGAACCCGTGTCCCCTGCATCGGCAGGCGGACTCTCAACCACTGCGCCACCAGGAATGTTTTAGCGGAAGGAAGAATCCATTCAACCTGGGGAGTTGGGCCCCATGGAAGGAATGCCCTAACACAACATTTTAAATCGACTGTATTTCAATTTAAAAAATTTTTTAAAAAATTAAAAAAAAAGAGAGACACTACGAGGGACTAAAGCGTAGTCCAGAATGGGGACTGGCAGATTTTCTCGATTGAGGGCCAGAATTTCTGTCCCAACAGCTCAACTTGGCTCAACTCTGCTGTCACTGCTAGAAAGCAGCCATAGACAATATGTAAATGAATGGGTGTGGCTGCATTCCAACAAAACTTTATTTGTGGACCCTGAAATTTCAATTTCACATGACTGCCACATGTCACAAAATATTATTCTCCTTTTGATTTTTTCCCAACAATTTAAGAAGTTAAATCCATTCTTTGCTGGTGGGCTGTACAAAATCAGGCAGTGATCTGGTTTTGGCCTATGAGTGTAGTTTGCTGGCTCCTTGTGCTCGAGTCAGGAAGTCTCTAACTGTTTCTGCAAACTTAGCTGCACGCTCTCTAATAGTTACTGTGTGCTACCTGCTGCACAGAGTCCAACATCATTGCCCCATTTACTCTATACTATGTTAGTATTATCTCCAGTTGACGAATGAGGATGTGGTAGCTTAAGTAACTTGCCAGGGGTCAGAAGCTGATAGGAAGGCAGAGCCAGGGTGCAAAGCCCCAGATATAAAGTGTTCCACCATCCCCCCAAACTCCTCTTCACCTCCACCTCGGATCCTCCACTGTAAAGTGTGCCCCTGGACCAGATTTTCTTAAAGTCACTTCCAAACTAAAAATGCTTTTGCCAACAAAATAGCTAAGTGCCCACCCAAGCTTTGGGGGCACAGTTCCCTGGGCTGGAATCCCTGCTCCATTCCTCACTAGCTGGGTAACCTTGGCCAATGTCTGAGCCTCCCTGAGCTTATATTTCCTCACCTGTAAAGAGTGGATGACGGCAAGAGGACTTTCTGGAGTTGCTGTAAATGAAATAACATACAAACATGGGGAATGCCTGCACAGAGTAAGTACTCCACTTACAGGAGTTGGGGGTCTTACCGTGGTTTTATCACCCCAGTGAGTGGTACAGGTGGGGCTACAGGGTGGATGTATAGAAATCTCTGGTCCTTGGTGTCAAGAATAATGATAAACCCCACTGGCTCAGGGCATAATGCTTGGGCTTGGATCCCGACTCTGCTTTGCTTGCTAGCGGCTTGACTTTGGGCAAACTGCTTCTCTCTCTAAGCCTGTTTTCTCATTTGTAATATGGGGTTTATACAAGTATCAACCTGATGAGCTTGCTGTCAAGACTCAGTGAGTTCAAGTATCTGGAAGAGCGCCTGATGCCGAGTTAAACGTTTGCAGTTCTGATTATTTCTCATGCCAAACCGTTTTACAAGCGTCATTTAAAAAAATCTTCACCAAGACCCAAAGAAATAGGGGCTTACTGTCCCATTTTCCAGATGAGGAAAACCTGAATAGGTATAATATGGGCTAGGGTCAGGTCTGGGGTCGCAGCTAGGGCCCGGGGTCTTGTGTCGGGGGTCGCGGCTGGGGGGGGGGGG